CAAAGGAAGTTTTGCATGTTGTTCTTTCCATTGAACCGACTGTCCAGCAAAAACAAAGTGACATGTCCATGTTGCACCTTCTGAGCTATTTGGCACTAAGTGAACGCACCAAAAAAACCGTGGCATCTCGTGTGGCCTCCGTTTGGAGCAGGACAAGAGGAGCGGTATGCACAGTAGGATCACCACCTCGGACGTCTTTCATGAACAACAAACACTTGTGTATTATATTATATATGCGTTATATATAATACATAATATAATATAATATATATATATATATATTATAATATTATAGTATCATCGAAATCTTCGGAACGGCCATGTTGAGATCACGGCCATGCTTTCAACGGCGATGGTTGAACGTGAAGAGATCTGGCAAAACTTCAGCATGATCTTTGAGTGGAACCATTGTTGATGAAGCTCCCTTCGAGTACATCTCTCTCGTGGACTCTATATTCAACAAAAGTGAGCTGAGCCCTGGTCAATACATAGGAACACAACGGCGCCGCCGTCTGTAGTCTGTAGTCATCCAAAAGTATGGAAAGACCTGCAAAAGATTGCACGCATAAACTACGGTCGGTTGCAGTTTAGTGTGATTATAGGACTGACACTAGGTACCCAAATGACAACCTTATAAAGGATATATTTGGGGCATGAGCCTGGGTTTGATGTGCTTTGTTTCTTTTTGGTTTCGGCAAACACATTGAGAGATGTGGACAAACAGGATGTGGACAGGTTTCCACCTCTATACGAAGCGGTGTCACCCGTCAGAATTAATTGTGATTCTTGACCAAATCATGATGATGGTGAGAAATCTCATTCTCGACTGATCAAAGACATGTCGATGGTGGGTGTCCCCATTTGCCAATGGCAATGCCACAATGGGTTGCTGAGACCCTTGGAAACCCTACCTCCAAGTACCTCCTGAGAAGGTGAGGCAGGTGTTTTTTTTGGGGGGCTAAGTAACTGCCTTCTGAGGATGTCAAGTTGTTTGGCGAACAATAGTCAATAGTATATATTATATCACATGTTGTTCGCCAAACACCATCTAGCCATCGAACGCGAATCACAGTCTCCGCGGCTCCGCGGACCGTTTCGGGCCCCGCCACCCGTCTCAGGGACGGAGTCCGTTCCGAGGGGCCAGGGCGAGGAGATCGCAGATAAAGGCCCAAGAGAACTTGCTCCTGGCGCCGATTTGCACGTGGAACGCGTGCGTTGCTTGGACCATGTGGCTTGGACAGTTTGACCGAACTTCCGGCCACACGAATTGACAGAATGGTCCGGCCGCTGGCAGGTCGAAATGCACAAATGGTCAACAACTGGGCCGTTCGAACGGTTGAAACCTCAATAAGGGTGGAGAGGTTTGAGTCCAGTCACAAAGAGTTCAGGCTGTCCTTTTGAGTCCATAGTCCGGAGGTATTAAAGGGCCCTTTTGGAGTACGGACCTTTGTTGGATTCCAAGACACACAAAAAGACACATCCAGAGATTCATATCCTGAACACTAAAGAACACCGTTTCTTTGAGCTGGTGCATGTGAAGCTGGTGCACTTCTCCCTAACACCAATTTAGCTCTGCACAGGAGGTTTCTCTGCACACATGATTGTGCTTTCTTAGTCTGCCGCGGGGGCAAACAAGCACGTTGAACGCCGGCCATGCTTCGATGGGACAAGAAATTCGGAGCACGCCGCAGGCAATTAAAGAAACAAACTCTGCCTGCAAACCACTCTAAGGTCATGGCAAGCCCATGATGTAGTAGCAATCTGGATCACCTGGCTGGAAGGATGTCCAAAGTCCATCACTTGGAACTCTATAGGTTGAGCATTCTGCTGATTGACCAAATGAGCTACGGGCCAAAGCCTAGTAGAACCCCCCTGATACTGCGGAGATGGGCCATAGTTCAAATGTTCAGTTGGAACAAGTTTTTTTCTTTTGCTTCATGATATATGCTGACAACCGGGAACTCTCCCTCACTTAGCCAAAGAATGGCACGACCAAAATATATATATATATATAAGTGAAAACTAGTGTTGAATTCCGAATGATTGCTCGGCGACGAGTTTGAAAACTGGGGCCCTGTCGCCCTACATCTGATGAGCAACGGCACAGGTCTCCACCTTTTACACAAATTCGCCAATGCCAATGTGTTAATCTGTGCATTGCGAGCCCGTGGCCGGCCCTGCCCAGCACCCCACCTTTCTGGCTGCCTGGCCGTTTTGCCGTGGCCGGACACATGGATGGTGAGGGTGGTGAGGACCTATAGGATCCGTATTCTGCAACAAATTCCTGTTTATACACAGCAATTTGGAAATGGTCCCGACTCAGGACCCACTGAAGAGGGGGAACGCAAAAGTCGATGACCCAACATGTCCACAGCATGGCATAGCAGGGACTGAGTGCCATATGCCACTATATTGTTATGCCACTAGAAAGACTTCCTCCCACTTCGTCCTGGATTCCCACAGTCACACCATCTGTCCAGCTTCTGCTACCCAGCGAATCACACGGTCCAGAGCCTAGGGTCATATCAACAACAGCCACGGTCCCTCGAAACTCTGCCATTGTTAACATCAAATTCTCTTGGTTTCAGGCTGTTTGGGGAATGGGAGTGGTGACATCACATTTCCGTCAAAATCGTCAAATACCAATCATATCAGCAAATTTGATAGGTATATAATAAATGTTGCCCTCAGGCACTTGGCATGAGCTCTTGCATGCTCTTGCGCCTGCCGTCTCCGCACTCTTCAGCTTCAGGAAAACGGGGCCGTGAGACAGCTTTGGCACAACAACCTGAAGCAAAGGCCCAACGGATCTGTTGCTGGTCGGCAGTTGTTGCTACTGCACCACCTAGGTCCATCTGGATATCGCAGAAAAGGCTTCTCAGTCAAGGTGTTGCTTTTTTTGTCCAAATGCAGTAGACTCACATCCATTCACATGGCCATATCATCTTCTGGCAATCCTTTCATCGAATCCTTGTCAGAAGTTGCGCAGGAAAAGTCTCCTTTTTCACCGACGTCTAGAGGGTCTAAAGATAGAGACATGTTGCTATTTCTGTTGCCCCTTGATGGTGCAGCCCGCCATGGCTGTGAGGAAAGCATGGGTTATATACCCACCAAACTCCACTTTTGAGTGTTGATGCGATTGAAGCCAGGACTGTTCATGGGCATCATACTTATAATATCGGTATCGTTTTCCTGCAAAAGAACAAATCGCATGCACTTGATTCGCGATTGGTTCTAAGGAATTCTGGCAGCCTCATTTCAACCCTTCCGGGTCATGTCAAACAAACTCGATCGGGATTCGCTGAACGCCATGAATTCGTTGACAGGCGGCCTCCGTGCTGTTGCCTGCGCCAATGACATGATGGCACATGGATTTGCACATGCGTGACGGCACAGGGCCTAGTGCTGGACGCCCTCGGATCTGTTGTGGATCCTTCTTGAATCACCTTGAATCATCCTTCATCCAGGAAAGCCCTCAGAATTGACCTGAATTGCAAACCTTCCGCAAGGGCGAACCGCCAACGACCTCTCTCCTCTATAGTTCATTCTTGTTCTAAAAGAGGGGATTGTCAAATTGAAGATCATTGAAGGTATGGTGGGTGCTACCACTGACTTAGAAGGGCTTTGAGACAATCCAAGAAATTGAGGGTTCAGACCAACATCAATGGAAGGATAGAATCATCAACCCCTGGTGGAGATCTCTGAGATCTGATGAAGAGGAGCCAAAGATCCTGGATGGTGAGTCAATAGGACCCAAATATTGGTTCCAAATATTACTTAAATATTGGTTCAAGATTGATATCACTAGCGTCACTAGACTTATAATATCCAGGCGGTTGCACTCCCTCTACTTTGGATCTAACATCAGCCTCCGACCTTTTTGGACGGCAGCCCACCACCGCGATCGCCGAAAAAGCCTGCATCCAAGTGTTGAAGGGCGGTGTGGTCTGCACTGGCCGCCGCGAGAGGTATCAAGACCTCGGGTTTCGGACGTCGGGGCCCTCCTTGTCAGCTGGGAATGGACCATCGTTCCGGTGGCGGTGTTGCCCTCGAGGCTTGAAACATCTTGGTTCACCTCATCCAACCATCCGCGAAGATCCTCACCTTCTCAGAGAGATGGTATATATATATATATTCCACATGGAAGGTGGTGGGCCTTGCTTTCCATACATTTAGCATCTCATTTAGCTTTTCCTGTGCAAAGATATAGATCCTAATCCGGAGGCATCGCAGCTCACAGCTGAAAAGATTGGAAGATGAGCACGACAGCTCGACCAGGGGGTTGTTGTGTGCCACCTCTAAATGGAATAAAGGCATATGAAGGCACAACATGTCAAAACCAACAGGACAATCGCCATTGTATATATTGTTTGTTTGGAGGTTCATGGAATTATTCTAATACAGATCGACGATATCTACAGGGCCATCTGCCTCAAATCATCTCAAATCTGCTGACCAACCAACAGACAGAAACTGTCCCCAGTCAGGGCCCAAGACGTCCCTGCAGTCAAACGGCTGCCAGTGTCAACAGCGAGTAGGGCGATGTCACCATCGCGCCATGGCGTGGAACGTCGTTCGGTCTCGGGAACTGAGCCGACAAAAAAGCCGTTTTGGGGGGTCACCGAACGAGCCGAACCTTTTGAGAGGGCCATGAAAACCCAAACCGGGTATTGCCTGGTATAGGCAAGAGCGATTGTTGGGGCTGCCTTGAAACTCTTCAAGAAGTGAACGCCCCAGCACCGCCCCAGCACCGAGACCACGAACATTACGTGCGCATGGACGTGAACTTCACCAGAGCTAGCGATGGGCCAACAGAAGAAAACATATAGAAAACATCGCGATGGCCTCAAGCCTAATAGCGACGGCCTCCAATCAGTGATGGCCTCCAACCTCAATAGCGATGGCATTTGAAAAGAAAAACACCACCGACTCACTGTCACCCTTTCGACCCTTTCGACCCTTCTCACCCTCCTCGGCTCAGTCAGACGACTCCCCCTTTTGTTCTTTTTCGCTCGGCTCAGTCAGACTCGTCCAACCTCGACGCGTCGACATCGGCCCTGTCCGGTCCGGAGGAGCGAAGGTTTCGATGTGCATGGCGCTTGCAAAGCACGGTTTGGGGTCTATGGGGTGCTTTTAAGAAGACACCCTGGCCCAATGACTGCGGAGGTCTCTGATAGCTGCTACACACCCATGTCTGCATTCTTCACACAGGACTCTACTGAGGACTACACTGAGCTGGCGGAGCCTGCATGGCGCTGCTTCGCTGTTGCCATTCTTGTAAAATAGTATCTGTGGCTCGTGGCTCCAACAAGTACAGGAAACCGGACAAAACCAATCAGACTCAACACCATGAAACACCTGGTGACTGGAATGACTGGAGCGGTGATTGTTGAGCACTAGACCTTCCAACCTTCCGCCCCCCCCCCTGGCCTGCCCTCGACCGCGGCCCGGCCGCCGGCCGCGCCGCACGGGCGCGTTCGGCGGGTCGGGAGCCTTGCGCTTGGCCTCAATCGTGGCGGAAGCGGACGGGCAAATCGGTCCATGAAGATGGCGCCTTTGCTTTTGATGGGCACATTTGCTTTGGATCTCCAAAGTCAATGTCCCAAATCATTTGAGTGTTTAGTTTGTTCGACGGACGGCAACATTTGGTCAACAAAACTGCATTACATGTAGTGTGGAGTTGCAAACTGATTGAAACTTTCAATCACCTATCCTGCAGCAAGATTGGATGGGATCAAAAAAAGGAAACGTCGAAACGTCGTCCTCAGCACCCTCATGGTCCACACAACGGAAGGTCAACTACTAAGACTACTAAGACACATGATGGAACAGCGACACGATCTTATTAAACATTGAACAGTGAATCACCAATGTTGGCTTCCCACCAAGATTCTGAGTCCCCCACGCACATGTATCCCGCAAGGGAAAACCAAGACTCAAGACGAATTACATCTAATTGCCCCAGCCGCAAAAAAACGGCTTGGATTGTCCAGGTACACGATATCAATCAGGCAAATAAGTCATACAAAACTCCACAGACCCAAGACCTCCAACCCTGACCATCTTTGAGTTTAGCCACTCCAAACGAGCAAAACTCCCGCGCGTTGACCCTCCAATCGCAGCAAGGAGCGACATTGGGCTCCTCAAGGATCTCAAAGCTCTCGGCTTTGCAAAGGACCTGGAGCTCCCGGTCTCCGCGTCACGGGGGTAGCGCGTCTGTGGCTCGGAGAGAGGGCGTTTTGGACGAGAAAAGGACGTTGTGCTTTTGGACGAGAAAACGATCCTGCCCAAAGAAAGGATCCATATATTCAGTATAATATGCCTTCATGTTCCAACAGGTCACCATGTTCCCATGTCTAAGTCTCCAAAAGCCACCAAGGGAGACCTGTTGGAGGGTGCTGGTGGGGATCTCTCCTCTCCCTTCTCTTTAGTGTTAGCCTTGTTGGGTACTTCAACTTGGTGACTTGGTAGCTTTCGCCCCTAGAAATGTCCCAGACAGTCCCAGATCCATGACTTCTCTTGTGAAGCCTGTGCTCCTTCGCGTGGGAACTTTCGTGGCTGGTAATTAGGAGTCCGAATTCTGATTCTGGATGTTGCTACAGTAGCAATTGGTTAGACTAGTTGGGGGTGTTGTTTTTCTCCTCACATCTGTTAGATGGCACCGGCTGGAGTTTCCCACCACCCGAGAGGCCTGGCCTTTCCACCACTCTCCAGGAAGCATTCCCAGCCTGATGGCTGGACAAGCCCAGATTGTGCAAAAGGAGCTGCTAAACCTTTGGTGAGATCGAACATCTAACGAGTCAAGGGTTTTGAACGTACATCTTTCCATCATCTTTCCATTGTCTACCGGTGCTATTCCCCAAAATGGTTTTCCCAGTACCCGATCCATGCTTCGCTGAGGTCTACCTATTGTTGAACACAGCAATCTGATACCCTGCTAGGAAAAATCAGCTACCGGTGTATCGGTGTAGCTACCTTGTGCTGGGCACCAAACTTTTTCGAGAAATGCAACAACTCCTGCCTCAGTCAATAAGGACATGGGGCGGACAAAAAACAAACATTGATCAACACCGCAACACCAAAGTCTTGAAGGCCTTAGGCAGGAATATGTTCTGATCTGTTCTGATTGTTTGAGAGGGGCACCAGACTTCAAGAACTCTTACTCTTGCGACATGAACATTGGTACATGCTTGCAGATCCAAAAGGATTTGATCCGCAGAGCCAAGGATGAGGATGGGGCCACCATCCTGGGGGAACAGCAAACAGCATCAAAAACAGCTATGACCATCACCTGAGGATGTTGGCCTAAGTCTTACGACCGCTCCCGTCGCTTCTCACGACTCGTGGCTCCAACACCGGGGCCCACGGCTGGACGCTTGCAGGTCGCCGAGGCCTGAGGATCCCCAGTCCGTCCCGAACGAAGCGATGTCGCGAACGACCGAATTCGTATGGTAAAGCACCATGAACAAAGAACAATAGGGACAAAGTGACAGGTCCATGCAAAGGAATAGCAAAAGGGCAAAGCGTCAAAGAAGTTGGATGGCAGTCAGATGGTCCAAGAGTGCCTACTGCAAGCCCAAAAGAACTCATGAAGTGATGTGTTCATTGGGCAATGGGCTGCCTCAAGCATTGTGATAATATGTTGTATGGAAATTATTGTTTGCTTAAAAGCTCATGCTGATAGACGACAATCAAAGGACCGGAGATCTTCAGTCCTGAAAAGATCTTCTAGACGATCAGTCTACTATTCGCAACAGTCCATGACAAACCAGAAGGGCCAATGAGATTAATAGTTTTGATCCACAAACGCCTTGCTCCAGCATGTCAGACTGCTCCGGATGTCTCTTGATCCTGCACCCGAGCGGAAGGTGTTTCGTTTACTGGCTTTCAACGATGTTCGACCGTGGTTGATCATCATTGGGTTTGGGTCAGCTCATGTCATCATGATTCATCATGATTCATCATGATTCATCATGTCATGCTGGCCATAAAAGAACGGCAAACATGGGGCCTTCATGATGAAAATGGAACCAGGTTGTCACCCATGGTGTCGTGGTCACCAAATCCTTCGCTTCAGCATGACCAGCTCCCCATCGACGGCTTCTATGGGCTGCTCCACGGGCGAGCTTCCCTTGGAGCTCGGGCTGCTCGGTGAGGATGCGCACCTGTGAACCCGGTAGGCTAGGGGTGGTGGTTTTGCTGAGTAAGCTCAGGGCGACTAGTTAGCTTCTTGGACGCAGGATAGCTCACCCTACAGCAATGACTTGGTTCCTAGATATTTAGGGACACTTTGATGATTTATGCTAGGACATGGAGAAATCTCCAGAACAATTCATGCAAGTGGAACGTCACGCGAGCCCGGAAGACCAGTGTCCAACGCATTAAGGGGGGAATCCAGAAAGAGTTTGAATGGACAAAAAGAAACACATTTAAAAGAGGTATTGAACATCTTGAAATTTCCTCCACCGGTCTAAACCGATGTCCCTGTCTCAACCCAAAGACATTGACAGTGAATCTGGTGCCTCGCCTTGCACCCCGTGCGCGGTGTCTTTGATCCCTCGGGTGCGGTGTCTTTGGTCCGTGCGAAGCCGATCAGTTTGGGTGGGGTTCAACCAGCGTTTTGGGTTTCCTTGAGCGTGTGTTCCCTGGAAGCAATCCAAGTTTATAAATTCCTGAAACATGCCCGTGGTATAATTTTGAATAATTGGTGTGGCCTATTGCTTACACAAATTATATATGTTGATTCTATTCTGAGCACCTTTAATATAAGTCAGTGGAGGATGAGATGCAACGCATACTGTGCTTGGTGGCTTTATTTTTACTTTTATGACGTTCAGCAGGCCAAACCAGAATCAAATCAGTGACCCCCCCAAGAGATGGTTAGCCTGGACTTTTGTGCATCCCTTTTGGAACACCGGAATATTTTCGAGCACCACGCAGGCTTTACAAAAAAGACTGGAGTTTACACCCGGGAAGATTATCATGGAACCTAAAAATTGTCCCTTTCGAAGACTATATTCCGCTACAACCCTGCGGTTTTCAGGTTCCATGTTTATCTTCCAGGGTTCCAAAACATAATTTTCCGGTCCGTCTTTTGATTCTATTGGGATCACCACAGAACTGCATTCCTCGCCGGGCCACGGCCGTGGCGGAAGAAGACGGTGCTGGTGGCGCCGTGGAAGACTTGGATGGAGTGTCCGGTGGGAGGCCAAGAGCTTTCATGAGCTCCTAGGAAGGAGCAGGAGCTCAAGGGTTTTGGACGTGAACGGTGTCCCAGGGTGTCTGTGAATATGATATTTGAAGTCCTGTGAACATGACGTCGTGGCAAAAACACAATGCAAGTCACCGGAGGGTGTCCACAAGTCACCGGAAAAAAAAATCACTGGAAGATGCTGGAAGAGCCCACCAACATGTTGCACTCTCATGTTGCACACCGTCTTCGCCCCAATGATCGAGCTTCAATGGCTGGTCACGCGAGAAAGAGTTGGTCTGAAGGAGAAGTTGAGAAGGTGTTGCCCAAAGCAACACCAGTCGTCTCGCGATGTGAGAAGCGTCTCGCGATGACATGGCGCAATCGGACCGGTTTCGATGGTGGCGACCGATGCTGAGAACCGGCCTGGATGAGAACATGGAGTCTTCATGAATCACTCCGAAGAAGACAACTCACAGAAATGACATGGTGTAACCTCCCCTGAAAACAAGATGTTTGGCACTTCGATTGCTGATAGATGTCCATCATGTCCATTGTGTTGGGAACGGGGGCGATCTTTCTTTAGATTCATCCAGGTGCATCTGAAAGCACATATGTTGAGGAGAAAAGGAATGGCAACACGCTTAAGGATAACTAAAAGTAAAAAGTAATACTACTCATTCATTCTCAACTCAAGCAAGTACAAAAAGTATCAAAAAGTGTCAAACAAACATTGCCAAATTCCAACCACCTCCCTGCAAAATAATTTGTCATCCTGGTCTTCCATTTTGTGCGATGTGCAACACCTGGTTCGGTCCCTTTTCCTTTCCCACAACCTATAGGAACTATCAACATGTCTTGAATTGTTTTGGGTGAGTTTTCTCTAAACTCTAAACCACTCAGGATAGTACGGGACCATTGTGGACTGCCTCCAAAACGCTCCCCCGCTCCTCGGCGAAGTCCTCCTCCGGCGCTGCGGCCACGCGAGCCGGCGCCGCTGCGGCCATGCTCTGCGCGACGCCAGCCGCGCCTGGTCGGACGTTCAGTGATCCAACCGGTGGAGGTTCGGTGGCCAAATAAAAGAGAATTAATTGCTTTCGGGTCCTGTGGGTCTTGTGGGTCTCGTGGGTCTTGTCTGGGCACCGGGGTGGAATACCTGAGACTGCCTGCTGAAGTGGAAAATGGATCGAAGAACCCAATCATACCCGCTTCCCGGGAATGTGGATGTTTTGGAGCCTTGATGAGCCTTGTAGCGTGGAGATGTGCTAAGCCTAGTCTCAATGGTGAACATGGGGATACCGGGGACTGGGGTCCAACCCCAGTCCTGGCGTTCTTCTGAGACCTGGAGGGCACCCGCGCTTACATTCAATAGCAATAAGATGGGGAAAACATGATATTATGGCGTTTGGTCTGGCCAATCACATCCACTTTCCAATCTCATCTTCTCCCAGCTTCGCCTGGAAGACCGTAAGCTGCAGATGAGCACTTCCCACGTAGGCGGCGCCTCAAGAAACGGGCAAACCAGCAAACGGGTCTGCTCTTCTACTTTGCATATCCTCGCATTGACCCAGTGACCCAGGCGGATTTTGGTTCTTTCTCCAATCTCCATTTGCACGGACTTAATTATGATCTCTTTTCGACTCTCCATCTCCAGATCTGCACCAAGTTCATACAAATCCCCTCATCTATCCTCCGGATTGTCATTCCATCCCATTTCCTGCATCTGCCCCCCCCCCCGCTAGCCTCTTGGGCGCCACCTCTGCCGCTGCCGCCGCGGCCGCTGCCTCCGCTGCGGCCTTCTGGGCTGCTTGGAGGGCGGCCTGCCGCGCCTCGTACTCCAACAGAGCGGCGCGCACCTGCAGCGGCCGGGGATGATAGGATATGATAGGATATCTGCGGCGGTGGCAACCGGGATGATATATGTGTGGCGAGGTGAGAGAGATTTTGATGCTCAACAAACTTCTTCCGCAGGCTCGAACTGCCGTACACGTGGGATTCAATGATCGACGCTTTTTCAACCATTGAACCAGGATGACATGCTGAACTGGGAGATTCACTGATTGAAGCAAGTATAACAACATGAGCAACTGTGGCAAGATTCTGGACAAAGCATGCCCAACAAAATGCGTTCGATCTGTACCATTAAATTGACCAGGCCTTCACGGTATACCCACAAACGAAGAGGATCAAAGAGGCAAACATACAGGTCAGCGCTTTCCGCGAGTGTACACCCGCGCGTGTATACACGAAGAAGGAGAAACATCCCTGACCTCCCGGACGCTTCGATAGCGATTCCCCTCGTGGTCCACAAACTCGCGCATCTCCTGTCGGAGTGCTCCGATCTCGGTGAGACGAGCGACGCAGAATCTCGAGACTTGGCAAACGAGCGACCACAGTCGGTCTGACCGTTTTCCAATGCGCATTGCCAAGACCTTTGAACAAAAACCTTTGAACACAATAATTAAACATTTAAGACCGCCGCCGCTTCTTTTTCTCGGAAAATCTTTGTCTTTTTTTCTATAGGGTTTGCTTGCTCATAATTCTCTGATTTGCTCTGTGACGCATGAAATTCAACTGGATTAGGCTAGCTATGCAGGGTGATTTGCAATGGACCACCATTCCCAACTTGGTTCCCGTCGCATTGTCCTTCTTTTTTCTCTTCACCCACTCCATGCGCCAACCACTAGGCAGCACCTCAAGTGGCTTTCACAGCAAACTTCAGCTGACAAAGTGGGACACCGACAGCATATCTTCGCTCCACACGTGTCATCATCGTGCGCCTCCCCCTCTAGATTGCCGGATGGATTCTGTGTGGGATGACACCGAGGTCTCACGATGTTCGACCTCCCAAAACTATAGGCCTCCTCTGACTGCCCCGGTTCCGGCAACAGCCATCGATCTGTCGTCCTTGGAACAGTTTGATCTGGGAGCATAAGCCAAAATGGATCTCTGTTCTGACCTGACTACCAGCTAGCTCAACGACATGAATCGATGGACCTTGAACAAAAAACCGACCTGGAGCTTCCTCTCCACCCAGTGGGTATTTCACTTCACTTCGATCTCGTGCTCCAGCTGAGGCCACCCGCGACTGGCGCCGGTTCCTTCTTCCCCAGTTCCTGGTGGCAAACGCGGCTTGACGCAAAGCGAGCCCACCATGGCGGCACGAACATGGAGATTCCGGGCAAAACAGAAGGACCTGTCCGTCCAATGTAATCTGCAGCAGGAGGACCCAAAAAGGGGTGCAAGTGTCTCGTGATTTGAGGACCTACGTCAGGTCATCAACATGATGTACGTCTCTGTGACAAATCGAACCGTTTTGTAAGGCAAGTCTTGGATGATGCTGCAAAACATGAAACATACCCAAGCACTCCATGTATACCAGATATATGCCTACATTGACCCCCCAAACCCCAATGTAGGCAAATATATGGCATACATGGAGTGTCTAGGATATATACATATATATATATATATAGAGAATAGTATCATAGTTCTACCCTTACAAGGGTCATGGTCAAACAGGATTGGCCCATGGCGATGGTAGCTACCTTTTCCCGTTCCACAATGAATTTGACGGGATGATTGAATCGCTTTCTGGTGGTCTATGGCGTGGACATCGTGCGCTGCCTTGACATGCTTCGACGAGGTCACTGTGGTCACTGATGCTCGTTGAGTGAGTGAAGGAATGAGGACAAGGATCGAATGAAACTTCCCTCATGCCCCGGCCACATGCAGATCTGTGCTTCCGGCTCGAGCACGCGACCGAACACCGACGAAAGCAGCGTACTTCGATGTACTTCGAAGCGCACGAGTGGCGCTCCGACCGGCAATGGAGTAGGCCTCACCTTGTTGAGATCTGAGGCCTCGCTTTCGGAGTGATGGACCTGGACAGGTCCGAAACTGGGGACAGGTCCGCAGCACAACGCGCTGCGCCTTTCGAAGTCTGTCACGATACAAATAGACGGCTAGGTTGCTGTGATCCATTTTGTTGTCTCAGGCTTTGTGACGGTGCTTCCTGGAATTGAATGTGCTTCCTCTCAGAAATGGCCTCGCTCACACAGGTCAATCCCTCGTTTCCAGGGTCGTGGGTGTCATCCTTTGGAATCCTTCAAGACAACAAGCACCTGACTGCGACTATACATAATATATTTATACATATATTATATATATTGTTTGGGTACTAGTTTGAGTCTATCCTAATACCTGTAACAGTGGATCTTTCCAACACCTCAACCCAACCTCGACCTTCCATCCTCACAAATGTTCAAGCAGCTTCCTCAGCTTCCCCAACCTGCAGAAGGGACAAGACAAAAAGAAATCACAGCAGCTTCCTCAACCTAAAACCCGCTCGCGCGCCGGTTCGCCGCCCCGCGAACGCATGAACCCGCCCAGTGTTGTTCTTCAACGAGCCGGACCGAAACGCCCCGCGAACGCATCCGGTGGGCCTCGCCATGCTCTTCCACCCACTCATCTGCCAGGTGCGAGAAAACGTCTCGGTCCACGGCCTCGGTCCACCGTCCGAACGTGTCGACCGGCCTCGGTCTACGTCCGGCCGCCTCGTGTCGGGTCGTTGGAAGGAGTTTGGAGCGACCAACGATAAAACCACTTGAGTGGCAGCAAGACCAATTGGAACAGCAAGAGCAGAAAACAAAGCACAATCTGAGAACCTTAAAACGAAAAAATGTCTACACACAACTCCCCAGCCTTGACCCCAAGCTGCCAACTTGTATCAACTTGTGTTTGTTTTATCCTTGGACAAGCATTGCATCCGGACCATTTTCCACTCCACCTCCATCTCTGGCCTGTTGATGGAGTCTGGGGCTTCCAATCATGTCAGTCTTCATGAAAAAAAACACCTGTCCTACCTGTCAGCCAGCACCTTTTGTGGGGGACCTTTAAAGAAAACCCACCGCCCACGCCGCCCAGGTCCTGGGGTCCCGAACCAACGAGCGCATGGCTTCCAGCGCCGGAGCAAACTCCTCTGTACCTCGGCGGATGCGGACCGTCTGGGACCGTCTGGGAAGAATCAGGCCGTCTCCCATCCTGCCGCAGCGATGGAACGAGCGGGCCGGGCCTTGCACAATCAGACACAATCATCGATCGGAAGGCGGTGAACACGGGTTCAATTGGCAGTTTAGTGTGGTGATGAATGGGTCCAAAAACAAGATGTGGACCGGACAAGTTCCAATCTGGGCCTTCAGTATTCAGCTGAGGTCTGCCTCTGTTCAGAGCATCCGGACTGAAGAGTTACTGGTTGGTTGAAGTGGCTGTTGGTGGGCGAAACTGTTCATAATCAAAAGGAAATATTATTCCAACATGAAATATATATTGAAATATAGTCTGTAAGGGATTATAAGTTATAAGGGTAACACTTATGCCCTCATATCTTCAAGTTGCCCCAATTTTTTACCTTTTCTTCCCAATCCACAGACTCATCCGTTTTGTTTATCGGTCACCTTAAACGTATCATTGTCATGGAGTCACTTAGTAGCTTACTTAAGTTCAAGCCAAGGAGTGCAATATAGGTTCATGGACAGTCGTTTCAAACCACCAAACCAGCACGTCACTGAGATTGATTTTGGCTGAAGATACAATATCGATAAACATCACACATGATTTTTTGGATGGTCAGCCACTAGTCACTCTTATTGGCACCTCTGCTTCCTCTGCCTCTGCTCTCTCCTCACCCAGCGGCGTTCGGAGAGCTGCTGCAGTGCTTCCTCGTCCGCAGTCTCGGGCTTCAGCGAAGCGATGGCCTGGCATCGTGGGCAACGCTGGGGCCAGGAGTCCTGTCCAACGTCATTGTGCTTTTGTTGCACCTCACACGCCTGACAGGGATCGTTTTGATAGCACCACCATACAGTCTTGGAGATGTCCAGAGATGATTCAGAGCGAATAATGAGAGATTTTGATGTTTCATGATTTTTCCGTTCTGACACGGCACAGCTAATTGGTTCAATCTGTCGTAGGCGATGTCCTCACACACACACACATACACATGCATGTTCCACAGTAGCTCTACCATCTAAGGCGGTGAACCCCAATCCTTCGCAGTTTTAATGACCTGACAAACTCAGAGTGCGTGTTCAGCATGTTCGTATATTAAAAAATGCATTTCGGGCCTATGTGTTGTTTCTGCCAAAATCTGTTAGTTCCTGCTTTGTCACTGTCACGTCCTGCCTGATCACCTGAGGCCTAGCCACAACGAAGTATCCTCCGGCCTCGCTAGCTGAGTCGGCCAAGTAGAGCATCTGCATCGCCCGCACCATGGCACGGGGCTTCGCAGCGCCTTTTTCGGCGACCGGAAAAATGCCCGGCACTGTGTCCGTGGCGTCGGGACTCAGTGACTTCTGCTCTCTTCCCACATGGTTTCTTGTTCGTTCCAATTCGATTCGTGGCGCCTTTAGTGACCGCCCCACTCCAGGGCGAACTCCGGTGAAAGATCTGCAAAACACGCCCCAGACCTCCAGTGTCAACACCGCCCTATGCTCGACCCACCGCCTAGGCTCGACTTGGGTCGACCTAACCACGCGTCCGCGCATGACACGCGACGCGCGGATTCCGCCTTTCTCCGCCAGCTCCAGCAGTCGCACCAGCTCGTCGTGGAGGCGCTTCACGTGTTCCAGGCCCAAACCCAGTGACAACAAGTCGCTGTCCTAATGGAGCTGCTGGACGTCGGAAGTGTTTTGGGGCGTGGAGGGTGGACACGGGAAGGAAATAGACCAGATCCAGAAAAAAAACAAGATGGAACCCACGAACCCGAATGCAAACACGTTCGAAAAACTAATATGTCCAAATGACACTCTTGTAGGACACTCTTGTGGGACACTCTTCTGGACACTCTTGTAGGACACTCTTGTGGGTCACTCTTGTAGGACACTCTTGTGGGACACTCTTCTGGACACTCTTGAAGGACACTCTTGTAGGACACTCTTGTGGGTCACTCTTGTAGGACACTCTTGTGGGACACTCTTGTGGGACACTCTTGTGGGACACTCTTGTGGGACACTCTTATACGACACTCTTGTGGGACACTCTTGTGGGACACTCTTGTAGGACACTCTTGTGGGACACTCTTGTAGGACACTCTTGTGGGACACTCTTGTGAGACACTCTTGTAGAACACTCTTGTGGGTCACTTGCAGGACACTCTTGTGGGACACTCTTACACGACACTCTTGTAGGACACTCTTGTGGGACACTCTTGTAGGACACTCTTGTAGGACACTCTTGTCGGAAACTCTTGTGGGACACTCTTTTGCCCGAAAGCACTGCGAAGGGTTCTTCCGGAAAATCCCTTGAACACTGACACTTCGACACTTACACTTACACACACACACACACTGGAAGAGCGAAAGCATCCAAGTGCAAAGTATGCAAGTGTCAAAGTATGCAAGTCTAATGATGAGCATGCAAGCATGCAATGAGTATGCTAGCAGCCTGGAAAACTAGCACGGGAGATGTCCTAATGAAAAACATTTCCCCACTTTATAAATTCTCTCTTAAAGGCGGAGGGTGGGACGAACAGCGTCAACCGAAATGCAACCCTCTGCGGAGATCGTGCGTGTCGAGTGCGCGAAATGCAGGCGAGAGTGCGATTTGCCCGGTGCGCGCGCAACCCTCTGCGGAGATCGCGCGTGTCGAGTGCGCGAAATGCAGGCGAGAGTGCGATTTGCCCGGGGCGCGCGGAACCCTCTGCGGAGATCGTGCGTGTCGAGTGCGCGAAATGCAGGTGAGAGCGCGATTTGCCGGCTGCGCGCGCAACCCTCTGCGGAGATCGTGCGTGTCGAGTGCGCGAAATGCAGGCGAGAGCGCGATTCGCCCGGTGTGCGCGCAACCCTCTGCGGAGATCGTGCGTGTCGAGTGCGCGAAATGCAGGCGAGAGTGCGATTGAGTCTGTATGCGCGCGCAACCCTGTGCGAAATGCAGGCGACTTTGTAATACACCTTAGTACGCGGAGTATGTGGCGGGAAGATGAGAACTGGTGTCTTGTAGTAGAACTGTAGTACGCGGAGTAGTTGGGGAGCTGGAAGCTGAGAACTGGCGACTTTGTAGTACAACTTTAGCACGCGGAGCAATCTGTGGAGCTGGAAGCTGGGAACTGGCGACTTTGTAGTACAACTGTAGTACGCGGAGTAGCTGGGGAGCTGGAAGATGAGAACTGGCGACTTGGTAGTACAACTTGAGTACGCGGAGCAATCTGTGGAGCTGGAAGATGAGAACTGGCGACTTTGTAGTGCAATTTTAGTGCTACAGTGTGCGCTTCATTCCAGCTTGCTTTTTTCAGCCGCATCACACACACAGACACCCACGCACTGCCTCAACTTACACGAACACACACACACATACGTAGACTCATATACACACGGACATAGATACACGCACAGAAACCCACACACTACCTCAACTCACTCGACTTAACACTTCACACTGCACACTTAACAGATAACTCGCACTCTGACTTCCTACGTGATGAAAAATGCTTTCGGGCCACTCGTCGTCTAGTTGGACACTCTTGTGGGAAACTCTTGTGGGACACTCTTGTAGGACACTCTTGTGGGACACTCTTTGTGGGACACTCTTATAGGACACTCTTGTGGGACACTCTTGTGGACACTCTTGTAGGACACTCTTGTGGGACACTCTTGTGGGACACTCTTGTGGGACACTCTTGTGGGACACTCTTGTAGGACGCTCTTGTGGGATACTCCTGTAGGACACTCTTAAGGGACACTCTTTTGAGACACTCTAGTGGGACACTGTTGTGGGACAGTCTGGTAGGACACGCTTGTGGGACACTCTTGTAGAACACTCCTGTGGGTCACTTGCAGGACACTCTTGTGGGACACTCTTGTAGGACACTCTTGTGGGTCACTCTTGTAGGAAACTCTTGTGGGACACTCTTGTAGGACACTCTTGTGGGAC